GTGGGGGGTGGGGGGTGGGGAGGTGTGATTTTCTTAGGTTGGGTAGAAGACAGAGTGTATATGGGAGCGGTGGGAAGAAAGGCTTGTGCACCTGTGAAGACAGGAGGTGGTAGAAGGTAGAATGGTGCTCACAGCAGGTTAGGCAAGCTGGAGGCAGTGATTGTTTTTAGTGACATGTCCCCTCTATATCTCGGTATTTAAAAATAGGGAATTTTATTGCGGAAAAATCAAGCATTTACACTTTTTTCCTCCTCTCCAGTTTCCTCTTAATAAGCTGACCGAACTTCTCAGGCATGACATGGCAGCAGCTGGGTTCACTGAGGCGCTTACCTTTGCCCTGGTACGTTTGACATGCATTTTTCTGCTCATCTGGTTGGCTGATTTCTCTGAGTGTCGGAGTTAGTTATTCTGTGATTCTTTGTGTGAACTTAAAACCTAGACAACTGTTATTTTCAGGTTCTAGAAGAATAACTTTGAGGCTTGGGCATATACCCATCTGGTAAATAAATAGGCTTCTTTTTGTTTTTCTTTTTCTTAAGTCTCAAAAATATGAAGGACTAGAAGAAATGTCTTAATATGACAGATGACAACCTGCATTGTATAGCTTTATCTAAGTGTGGAGGCCTCATGGTGAATTTCAGAACCAAATTTATTGTTAGGATCTTTACTTACTTGGTTGGTGTGCCCACTAGATGCCGCCCTGGCTAAGGGCTCTGGAATGTTCCACATTAAACTTCTTTCTTTGTCTTTGAACATGTTCATAAACATTTGCTTTGAGTTGAAAAGCTGACATTAAAGGCCTACATCAGGAAATGACTTTTATTACAAAATCGAATGGAAGCTCCCCACCCCCACAGATTGACCATTTGAAAGACTAAAATGTGGGTACAATTTGTAGTCCTGCTTTCTTTTCTTTCTTGCTGAGAGCATTTCTGTGATGCCTACAATGTTGCTCTGGAGTAGTAGGTAAGTAACAGTTTAACAATCTAGGACAGCATGTACAAACACACACACAGAGACAGCCAGAAACGGCTACTTGGCTACTTCGTTTATATGACCCAGCACTCATGTTGGCTCCTTTTAGAGTATTTACTGAGGCAGAAGGAATTACTGCAGCGCGTGGAGGCTGCAAGGAGAATCAGTCGTCCTGGTGGCACTTTCTTGAGCATCCCTAGTTGAAAGGACCTTGGGCATCTTCTGGTTCAGCATCTTCATTTTTCTGTTTGAGCAATTCCAGCAATGCTTGTTGAGCATCTTTTTTATGCCAGGCTCTGTACTGATGAGGAAGCCTGAAGCCTTGAACTGTGATCAGAATCCTGACCTTTGAATCCTAGGTACTTTGCCATAGGTCTATGCTATCTATAGAATTATATCATTTCATATGTGTGGGGTTTTTTCATATACCAGTGAAGCACAAGTGGCATCCACTTCCTAAACCACATGCCTGTGAAAACTATGAACTTGAAGACATGACGATAGCTGGGGAAAAGCATTAGGTCTTTTGTTCATAGGGTCGCTATGAGTTGTGCTCTACTCGACGGCAATCAACAACATAGCAATGAAATGATACATGTCCATATGTATGCGTGTGTATACATACACACACATTGTTGCTGTTACTTGCCATCGAGTTCCTTGAAACTCACAGTAACTCAGTGTATAAGTAACTCTGAGTCCTGCTGTATCTTGAGTCAGTTCATTGTCTCCGACTCTCTCTCCTAACCCCATTTCCCCAGTGACTAAGTCAGTCCATCTCATTGAGGGTCTTCCTCTCCTGCGCTGTCCCTCCACCCTTACAAGCATGATATCCTTCTCCAAGGACTGGTTCATCCTGGCATTATGCCCAAAGTATATGAGTCAGAGCTTCGAAATCCTTGGCTCCAAGGAGCAGCCTGGTTTACCCTCTCCAGGATGGACCTGTTTATTTTCTTGGCAGTTAGTACTATGTCCCTTCCCCAGCACCACAATTCAAAGGCAGTAATGATTCTTTTATCATCCATAGTCATTTTCCAGCTCTCTGATGGATAGCAAGTAATCGAGAAGACCATGGCCTGAATCAGGCGCACCTAAGTCACTAGACTGACATTGTTGCTCTTCAGTTTACCCTCTCCAGGATGGACCTGTTTATTTTCTTGGCAGTTAGTACTATGTCCCTTCCCCAGCACCACAATTCAAAGGCAGTAATGATTCTTTTATCATCCATAGTCATTTTCCAGCTCTCTGATGGATAGCAAGTAATCGAGAAGACCATGGCCTGAATCAGGCGCACCTAAGTCTCTAGACTGACATTGTTGCTCTTCAGTATTTTGGAGAGGTCTCTGACAGCAGACATTCCCAATGCAGTTTGTCTTGATTTCGTGGCTGCTGGCACCAAGAATGTTGATTATGGAACCAAGCAAGCTGAAGTTGTTAACAGTCTCAGACTCTTCTCAGACTCTTCTCTGTCATGATGCTGCCACATGCCAGTTGTGAGAATCTTTGTTTTCTTGATGTTGAGCTTCAATCCATATTGAAGGCTACAATCCTTGACCTTCTGCAGCAAATGCCTCACATCCTCCTCAGTTTCAGCAAACACGATTGTGCCATCTAGCTACATATTAAAAAAAAACAAATCCTCTTATTGGGTCAGTTCCAATTCATAATGACCATCTACTTTGTTTCTGAGACTGTAAATCTTTACAAGAAGAAACTGCCAGTTTTTCTTCTGCAAAGAGGCATTTGGGTGCAAAGAGGCATTTGGGTTCAAACCACTGATCAAGATTCTGCACCCCCACAGTTCCATGTACACACCGGTGTCTGCATATGCATGGGCACCTTATCTAAGCCACGGTCTTTTCAGTTTTTATGCAACTGAAAAGTTGGACAGTGACTGAGGATGATAGAAGGTGAATCCATGCCTTCAAGCTGTGGTGTTGGAAAAGTACTAAATTTCCCATGAACTGCCAGAAGAAAGTAATTGTCTTGGAGAAAGTGAACCCGGATGCTCCTTACCAGCAAGGATGAATAAATTTGGTCTCGCTTACTTTGGGCATGTTGTCAAGAGGGACCAGTCCTTGGAAAAGACGACATTATGGAAAAAAGGGAGGATCAGAAGAGAAAGAAGATGTCAATGAGATAAATATAAACACAAGAGTGGACTCAGAGCAGACTAGAGCTGATGAGGATGGTGCAGGATTCAGAGCTGTTGTTCATCAAGTCACTGTGAATCATCGTTGACTCGATGGCACCTTACAACAGCAATAACACATATACGCATCCATGTATGATGTGTGTGTTTGTGTGTACACATAGATATGTAGGCTGTTGGCACTGTCATACACAGCGATCTTATGTACAGCAGCACAGAACATTGGCTGCTCCTGTGCCATCTTCATGGCCATGTTTGAGTTCATCATTCTGGCCACCGTGTTAATCTGTCACCAAAAGCATCATTCACCTTCGCTGACTCTTTCCCAGGGGAGCGTGGCAAGGATCACTACAGCTGCTGGGGAGTGAAGATTCTTAACCATTTTGATGGCTCTCCACCATCCCTTTTTCTAGGTAGAAGGTCAGTTAGTCCTTGAACACAATATGTAGAATAGTGCAGTGAGAAGTTAATGCCTGAGGCTGGAACATAATACAGTAAGAGAATGATGCATCAGTTTCCATGTTAAGTTTTCAATTCTTTTCCAAAAAGATACCTGTAAAGTAGGTAATCACTGTTCATTCTTAGTAATGATTGTGTAATCATTGTCCCCAGTATTCAGCGCTTGCTCTGCCATACGCAGAACTTGTATTATCGTGTTTATTGGTTGTGTTATGTTTAATAGTCTGTGTGTGTTGCTATGACTTCTGACGCTTGTGTCAATTCTGACTCATACCGACCCTGTAACGCAAGAGTCGGGGGTTTGGCAGCTGTGATCAGATCAGCAGGCCTTTTCTCTCAAGGAGTGCCTCACTCACTCACTTGTTGCTGGCCAGGTGACCCTTCAGTGTGTTTTCTGAGCCTGTAAATCACACAGGAGGACCACCAATGGATTAGAACTGGGGACCTATACATGAGATACACAACTCCGTCTCCCTGCGCCTCCTAGATGGATTTTTTTCTGCCCTCTGCCTGCCTACCACACTAATTGCTGGAACATCTAGAAAGGGGGCTGTGAAGGCATTTATAGGTCAAGACGGGGAAATGCGCAAGGTTTCAGGAATCTTCGAAGTACGGTGTATACCACCATCTCCGCGTGAAAGTTTACCGCTGCTGTGAATCATGGCTAGAATTTCTGAGAAGAAATTACGTTGCATCTGCTGTTGATTTGAAATTGATGCATGTTACCTTATATTTAACAAACTGACTAATGTAGAGAATACACATTGCTAAGTGTACTTAGAGCATTCATTTTTTTTTATTAAATTTAACCGTTGTTTTTCCATATTAATCTATTTTGTCTTCACTTGTTAGTGCTCCCAAGAAGATATTGCTGATAAACTTGGTTTGGATATTTCTGCAACCAAGGCCGTCCATATAAGCAATCCTAAAACAGCTGAATTTCAGGTAAGCATCTTAAGTGGGTAATAGTTTAGGTAAAATTCAAGTGGCAATGCATGACTTATGAAAAGGCCTATCAGTTATTCTATCTTAAATGACAAAAGTCTTACAATCTTGTTAATAGTATGTTTTTTTGGTTAATTTATATAAATTCTTACATACTTGACTCACAAAAATTTCTAAAACTTTTCCTACCATCTTTTGGTTAACTTTATAGTTTGTTCTCACTTGCATTGTGCTATCTATGGTAATTGTTTTTTGCCTTTCTTAAAATTCTTGTAAATGACCCAATCTCTTTTGTCTGAACTTTCCATTCCATAATTACTTTTTAAATAATTTCAAATTTCATCTCCTTTCTACTTCTTTTGTAATAGAGAAATCAAATACTCTTTTCAGTTGTTGTTGTGTACCATGAAGTCTGAACCCACCCAGAGCTGACCCTCTGGTGGGTTTTTCAGAGACAGTTAATCAAAAGGGAGGAGATAGTTTATCTTTCTCCCACAGAGCAGCTGGTGGATTTGAACTTCATGCCTTTGGGATTGCAGTACAGTTTTTTGACCCTAGACCACATTTTCTAGTTTATTTATTTATTTATTTTTTAACATTTTATTATTTTGTGTGCGTGTACCGTCAAATCAGATCTGACTGGTACAGGAGGATATTGCGCCTCCTTCTCCGGCAGAGCATCTGGTGGAATCGAACCGTGTTCCTCTGGGATTGCAGTGCAGCTTCTTGCCACTAGGCCACCAGAGCTCCCCTTTCTAGTTTATTTTAGTGAGGATGATACTTTAGTAATAAATTTTAAGTACGTGGAATTATTTACTAATGCCGTAGATGTGCACTACACTGATTAAGTCACTTCTTCCCTACTTGCTAGTAATCAAGTAAGTCAGTTTTTTCTCTGCATTCAGCACCAGAACTTTATAGAACTCTTTAACTAGCTTTGTATGAATTGTGGCGATGAGTTTTTGTGGCTTTTTTGACATCGCTGGCTTGTCTGCTGCTTTTGAAACATGACTACCATGATCTTCTTAAAAGGAGAGAGGCAAATTCATTTGGACAGAGTGATTTTTCAGTAAATTCCAGGGAATTTTTATTTTAATGTATTCTACATTTCCTTCCCCTAGTTTTATTAATCAAGCTGGATGGACTTCTCGAGATGTGGTAGTTGTTGGGTTCTTTAGGGTTCTAGCCTGTCTTACCCTTTTATACAAGTGAGAGAAAACAAGTCCATTAAGTGGTACTATAGATAGTCCAGGCTGAGCACACTTTTGAGAATCCATATTTCTGCATAAAATGCATTAGACATGCAAGAGTATATATTGTAGACCGAGAGTCAAGTATATTAATAAGGAGATAAAACACCAGTAATGTAGGAGAAAATACAGAGGTAAAGCAGGAGGAGGGCGATTTGAACAATGAACCCAGCTTCCCTGTGCCTTTATTGAAAATTTGAAAAGGTTGCTTCTTCCTGAACATCTCATATAGAATTAATCTACTTATTCCAAGAACCAGAGTATTCATATTTGTTTTATAGTCAAAATATTTATGACATAACTTATTTTCTATGAACGCAGAAGCCTTTTTTATTTTAGTCTTTCAGGGAATCACTAGAATTTTGTACAATAAAATGCTTTGTTAATGCTCAGCAAATTATTTGAAAAAATTATTTTATCATTCCCAGATAAGATCACATATTGATGGCTTAATACCCAGATACTCAACGTCTAGTTTCAGCCGATAGCATTGAAATTACTTGACAGCTTGTTAAATTTGAGAAATCTGCATATTAAAAATCTTCCTTATGGTTTGTATGCACATTAAAGTTTGACCGTCTCTGAATTAACACACAAAGATTGATAAGATTTTGGATTTACTAATATTTGTAAAAAAGGATTTTTGGAAATGAGGAATACTGAGGGTTATTGGAGCCAGCCAAATTGCCAAGTTAGATAATAATTTAAACAATTAAGTGAAACAAGGAATTGTAATTTATTTTCAGATGGTTAGAGGGACAATTATAAAACAAGACAAAACAGATTGTTTATTTTCACATGTGAAATTGCTGATAACATACTGTTGTAATAGCTGATAAAGAGGATGTTATTATTTTATAAGTATTATTTAATTTGTGCCTTTCCTAGAATCTTTTATGTAGTATATTAAAAATAATATTGTGATATTACTTCAGTTGTGAACATGTTCCTAAGGCACAAAAAAACCCTCTAAAATTAACTTCCTAAAACAAAACAATAAATTAACTGAGGGGGGAAAAAAGAAAATTGTCAAGGAACAAACCACAAAGAGAATTCTATGCAAATGAAGCTAAGTTCTTTCTTTTGAAAACCTTATGCGTGACTCAGGAGAGAGGGGTTAGCAAATACAATACAAGAATGTGTAAATGCTTAAGGTTTGCTTTAGTGTGTACCCCTGTAAACTCAAGCTTGTATCAGCACCTTCTTTATATCCTGATGCAGCATTTGGTTTATTATAAATATTTAGTATGAAACTTGGCTTCCCACAAGTATGTCTTTTGTCAGAGTCTATTTTCCCGTCTGCTTTATCAACAGATTCACTTTATCATTATCGTCATTTATTTATGGCTAAATTAGATGATGTTCATTGGCTTAAAACTCAGATAATTTATTCTCTAAATTTACTCTTCTACCATATAATTCTTAATTTTTATTTTCTGATAATAAGGATGGACAAGAGAACTGTTAGCTGACATGTTGAATTTTATAGTAATTATTGTAAAGAAAATCAGTAAATGCTAGTCCTTCGAAAAAGATATCATACTGGGCAGAGTGAAGGATCGGAGGAAGAGAAGAGGACCCCCTAACAAGGGCCAGTGACTGCATCACCGGGTGCCAGCGTATCGGAAATCGTGAGGAGGGTGCAGGGTAGGGCAAGGGTTAGTTGTGTTCAGAGGGCCACTGTGAGTTCTTACCGACTCAGGGGCACCTACCAACGTTATACCCTCCAGATTAACACTTTTATTCTTTGATATTCTCAACTCTTTAGCCTTGTTCAAATTACCCAATTGTGTCAAATATGTAGACATTGAATTTGAACCAGACTCTAAGTGAAGTATGTAGGTGGAAGTTAGTTCACGTGCCTTCTAGGTTTCTTCTCAGTGACAGCTCACCTTTCCTGACATCTCTCTGTCTGTCCATTCAGTGTGTTTGTTGAACAACTGGTTGTTCATTTGTTCTGTCACACTTATTACTTTACAAAATGCATGCTAGTGATCACCTGGATTCCTCATTCATTAGGAGTTAGATCTAGAGCATTGATCAGATTCAGATTTAGGGGTTTTTTTTATGTTACTTTAAAAAGAAATGGATTGTGAGTGGGGAGGGAGTAAGAGTGAAAATGTACAATAGTCAATATATGAAAATCTAACTTCTGTAAACTTTTATTAAAATCACAAAATTAAAATTTTATAAAATAAAGAAATGGATTTTCTTTTGTGTGGCAAGTATATCCATATATAGGAGATAAATTTTGAACATTAGTTCTAGTATATTCGCTGTTTCTCTCTACTAAACTGATTGGTTTTAAAACAAGCACAAAAACGGAATTATTGTTCTCTTTTCAATCTCCCTTTGATTATTCTAAATATATCAAGATGAATTTTTCAATTTTTCAGCTACTATGACTTTAAATTGGAAGCAGGAGTGGCATCCACTTCCGAAATGGCTTGCCTCCGGAAACTCTATGTACGAACAGTGCTCAGGCCATTCGTTCATAGGGTGGCTATGAGTCGTCTACGACTCAACGGCATCAAACAACAACAACATGACTTTAAATATCTCTCTAGCTTTTTCTCCATTGCAACAAAGCTAACAGCAGGTAGTGGTGTCCACTTAGAATTTGATGGAAGGGTTCTAGTTGTCCTGTATATATTTGATAGTATGTTGTTATTGCTGTTGCTATGTGGTAATGGGTCAGAACCGACTCACAGCTGACCTTCCAGCATGTTTGCAGAGACTGTAACTCACATAGGAAGAGAATGCATATCTTTCTCCCTTGGAGCAGCTGGTGGATTTGAACCACCTGCTTTTGAGTTGGCAGTGCTACTTCTTACTCACTAGGCCACTAGAGCTCCCTGTTTGGTATTATTATAAGTGTGTTATAGCCATAGGTAGTTATAGTTTCCTATTAAAATAAGTATCTCTAGAGTTTTAAACAATAAAGTGACTTAAGTAATCACAGTAAACAAATGTGTAAATAACTAAAGTCCAGGCTACATTTCTGTAGACAGGGGAGTGAAAAGTTCTATGTGTATTTTCAGTTTATTTGTCTGAATTCCTACAGCCTACTTCACAGTATGTTAACTGTGAATGTTTTCGGTGCTTGGATAATTTCTTGTTCCTGGCAGGGAAAAGAAATAACATTTAAGAAAGCACTGAATTGAAAGTTCCTGCAGCTTGCTGGTCGCGTGAATGGGATGGAAAGGTGCTTTCTTTATCTGGCAGCACACAATCCATGGTGTCCTTTTGGGAGCTTATTACTTGTGCTGGATCTAAGGGCTTTAGCTTTGAGCTGGGGGGGGGGGGCTGGGCAAGCTGTTCTAGGAAGGAGCGTTTCAGCACACTTGAAGGAAGTGCGACAGCCGTGTGGAGGCCTGAGATAGAAACACCCGATGTGATGCACGGACTGTCACAGCATCCCAGCCCATGGGGGTGCAGTTACCTGTGGGTGAGCTTTGGGAGGGGCCAGGGCCTAATCAGACCCTGAGCAGGGCACAGCTTTTATTCAGAATATGACAGATGACGGAGGAGATTATTTGAGCAGAGAAGTGAAATCACCTGACTGAAATGTCTTGAAGGATCACTCTGCATGGGGAATAGACCGTTCAGTGGTAGATGGAAACCGAGAAACCCAGTGAGGAGCCCATGCCATGATCTTGGGGAAAGACAGTGATGGTGTGTCCTAGTGTCCAGTGTCTGGGGGTCTGACTGTAGAACTTGGACCCTTGTCAGTGGGAAGAACTATCACACATAACTTCGCAGCTCTAGAACACATTGCCGTCAAGTCAGAACCAGTCATAGCTGACCCTCCAACCAGTTTTCTGAGGCTATACATTGCATGGGAGGAGATTGTCTGTGGCTTCGACTCACCCCAGAGGTGAGCCCCTTTGGCGAGCATCACGACTCCAGTACTGTCTATACCAGCAGAGCTCTCTGGAGCAATGGAGCCTTACTCTTCTGGGTGATGGGTGGGTCGTGGGGATGCTCCCGCTGTCCTGAGTAGGTACTGTCCTGAGTAGGTGCCGTCATACAGCCAAGGTGTTTCTTCCTGAGCAAAGCAAGGAAACTTTGTTGTTGCTTGTCAAGTGCTGAGATGTCTATGTTTCTCATGATTAGTAAGAGTGAAGTAACTATGTGTCCTGGCTACTAAAAAGCTGACAAGTATATAGTAAACTCTGCAAATGCCAAACCTGTGCAAACCAGAAAGCTGGAAGAGATGGAAAACTCACTGGCTGTTTTCAAGGTGGGTCTTTTAATAGAGAACAGTAGAAGAAGTGGTCAGCACGCCATCAAAGGAGGAAACTTTACCAGACCAGAAGAATGAAGCGGCCCTGAGTCTTGGTCTCACTGGCTAGACCCCGCCTGGCCTGCAGCAACTCTTAGGGCTTTTTCAGGGCTTCCATGTTTTGTGTTCCTCATTTTGTAGTAGTGTTTTAATTGCCTACACATTTTCTATAATTCTGGGTTTTTAAAAAATGCACTTTGGGGGGCTGTGGTGGTATAGTCTCTAGAGAGTTGGCCTCGCTAACTTGAAGCTGGCTCCCTGTTTGAATCCACCAGCAGCTCTAAAGAAAGTTCTGGTGACTTAGTGTTAAGAACCTGCCCTGCAAGCTAAAGGCACATGGTTCAAATCCACCAGCTACTCCAGAGGAGAAAGATGTGGGCAGTGTCCCCCCTGGTGATTTACAGCCCCTGACAAGCCACTGGAGGGCCGGCTCTGAGTCAGTTCCGACTTGACAACAAACAGCAACAGCTACAGCCTGAGGGAGGATGGTGGGCACATCCTTCCCTGTGATTCCTGGTTTCTGAAACCCCACTGGAGGGGCTGTCGTGAGTCGGTTCCACACGAACAGCAAGGAGTATGAGGATTTTTGGTAATCTACTTTGGTTACTTTGCATCTTGAGACCAGGATATACATATCCGAAATCTTAAAAGTTGACCTGAATTTAAAAATGATGATGAATGAAATAACTTATTCTAGGGAAGAACTGTCTGAGTTAAGTTATGTGTTACCTCTCTTTGATGTTTACATTTTCTACTGGGGCCACAGAGAGCAGCACCCCTTCATCGCCGTACAAAGGAGGGGCTCACAGGTTCCTCAGCTGCTCTACGCTAGGGTCCCTAGGTCCTGGGGCAATTGGAGATGTACCTGCCACATCAGAGGGCAGCTGTCAGTGTGGTTGATGGATCACGCATACTGGCATATGTCTAGGGTCGATTCAGGCCAAAATGATACACTGTAGCTCACTTTTAAAAAAATTCAAATTTCTGATTTTTCGCTTGGTTTATTTTTTACTTTTTTTCCCTTTCTTTCTTGTTATGTGTCATCAAATCGGATCCTACTGGCACAGGAGATTGCCCCTCCTTCTCCACCGGAGCCTCTGGTGGATTCGAACTGCGTGCACCTTCAGGATTGCAGCACACCGACTTTTTTGTTTTAAGTTGGGAGTCAGAATCTTTTCTGTTTCTTTCGTGTTCTAGTATTGGGAAGTGGAAATGATTAAAATAGAGGCTTGCAGGCCTTGCATTTTCCAGGACCCTCTGTGGACTCCAGCAGACTGCAGTCCTCTCACCTGTGTGGTTCCATTTGGTCAGTGCAGTTTCCCGTCTTCTCCTCTAGGTGGCACGCACTACCCTTCTTCCCGGCCTCCTGAAGACCATAGCTGCAAACCGCAAGATGCCCCTGCCTCTGAAACTGTTTGAAATTTCGGACATTGTGGTGAAAGATTCTAGCAAAG